AAGAACTGTCCTTTTACCTATTTGGGATGTCCTCTTATCAGAGGTAGAGTTAAGAAATGTTACCTTGAAGAGGTGGTGAACAGCTTTAGAAGAAGACTTGAGGGTTGGTATGCCAGACTTCTCTCTGGAATGGGAAGAGTGGTATTGGTGCAGTCAGTACTTAGCTCAATTCCCATTCATATTTTGGCTTGTTTGAATATTCCAAAAGGAATTCTAAGTAAGCTTAACTCTCTTATTGCTGATTTTATTTGGTCTAATCAAATTGGATCCAGGAGGAGACATTGGGTGTCACTTAATGATATTTCTAAGCCTAGAATAGAAGGTGGCTTGGGAATTAGAAGTTTTGATGAAGTCCAGATGGCATTCAGAAGTAAACAAGTCTGGGGCATTCTAAAGGGTTCTTCTTTGTGGGCCAAAGTCTTTCAAGAGAAGTTTTTTCAAGGCAAGCATATGCTAAGATGTAGCAGCAGTGGTGCAGGTTTATCATTTAATGTCTTGAAGCCTTGGTTCAATTTCACAGTACAGAATTCTTTCAAAATTGTTAGAAATGGTCATAACACTGATTTTTGGTGTGACTCATGGATGGAAACTGGCCCCTTGATTCTTAGAATGGAGAATCTTCCATTGATCTTTCCCAAGATAAAAGAATTATGGAATGGGGTAACATGGCAGCTAAATGAGGTTGCTGAATGGCTTAATCCTCAATTATGTTCTGAAATTGAAAAGGTGTTTTTTGTGAGATCTGAGGAATCTGATAAGCTTATTTGGAAGCATACTACTTCAGGTGAATTTACTGTAAAATCTGCATGGAATCAGCTCAGGAAAGTGGGGAACCAAACTGCTATTGCTAAAGGCATATGGAAACAGAAAATTTTTCCTAGTGCTCAACTTTGCACTTGGAAAATTTTCAGGAAAGCTTTGACTTCTGATGATAGAGTTCAAGATGTGGGAGTTGCAATGGCTAGTAGATGTGTCATGTGTGGTGTGGATGGGGAAAGTGCAGCTCATGTATTTATTAATTGCTCTTTAGCTCAAGCTGTCTGGAGGAAAATTGCTGCAATTATGGAATTTGATATATTTTCAGGAGAGGCTCCTTTATGCAGATTCTTGAGATTGTTGAGAAGGTTTAAAGCTGCTTCTCTCAGTCATAATCTAATAAGAGGGGTCTCTATGTTAATTTTTTGGGCCTTGTGGAAGGAAAGATGTAGGAGGAAATATGAGGGAGTATTTTTAAATGCCAATGCTATCTTTCACCAAATAGTGAGTTCTTTAAGATGGCAGGCTTTTCTTATCAGACCTAGATCAAATGATGATGGTAAGGGAAAGGAGTTGTTGAGAGACTTGAGTATTAAAAGTCCTTTTTCCTTAATCACCAAGGTTAAATGGATTAAATGGGAACTTCCTCCTGCAAATGTGCTAAAGCTAAATGTTGATGGTGCTTCTAAGGGTAAGACTGGCTTGTCAGGTGGTGGGATGGTATTGAGAGATCATGAAGGCCAAATAATTGCTGCAGCTTCCTGCTTTTATGGTATTGGTTCTAATATGTTTGCTGAATGCAGGGCATTATTGGATGGTTTACTTCTGATTTTACAATACAGTCTGACAACATCTCAGATTATGGTGGAGACTGATTCTTATTCTTTATTTCAAATGGTGAGAGGATTAGCTGCTGTTCCATGGAAGATGCAATATCTACTTGAAAGGATTAAGATGCTGTTTGGCTTTCTGAATTTGCAAATCAAACACATATATAGGGAAGCTAATAGTCTGGCTGACTTCTTAGCTTCCTTTGCAGTTAAATCAGAACAGTACACTGAGTTTTCTGCAAATAATATTCTGCCATCCATTGGAAGACTGATATTGCAACAAGATTTATATGGCTTTCCCTATGCCAGATTGAAGAGTTTGATATGTGATCAAAGAGAAGGTATTGGTTAATTTTGTGTCTACAGTATGAAAGACCTAGAATCTGGAAATTGTAATAATTCTAGGAAACATTCTAAAGGGTTTCTACTTTGGTTCTTCTGCTGGTTGGATCTGTGTTGATTCTAGTAGGCTTCTGAGATGATTTATTAGAATCAAGAGCAGTTCTTCAGTTTCTGTTGGCTGCTCCTTTTCCAATCTGCTTGGACTATCTTCTGGACTTCTTTTGTGAGCTTTTGAGTTTGGATGATCAGGTTTTCTGATGTCATCTTGCTCCCTTTTACGTTTCATCTTGGAATGTTGAAGGAGGCTGTTTCAGTACAGTTTATATAGGTGATATGTGATGTATGGTATACTCTGCATCTGGCCATTTCAGCACCCTGGTTATTAAATGAAGTGCATGTATGTGAGTTGTCTCTGGACTGATCTGTCGAAGGGACTGCAATCTGGCTGCTTGGAATTCTGATCACTGCTGCAGATTATTAAGGGGCTGATACTTATTATTTTGGACAGACTGTTGGTCTTCCCTGTCTCTTCCTGGACTGTATCTGTGGCCATTTCTTCTGTGGCTTAAGGCATTTGTTCAGGATTGTTTCAGCTGGATGGAAAGAAGACACTACAAAGGGATTATAATTTTGATTTACCATTTTACCCTTGTATTGTTTTTGATGTTATATGTTCATAAGTCACTGTTTTTAGCTTAAAATAGTGACTTATTTGCTTCTTGTAATTTCTNGGGATTATAATTTTGATTTACCATTTTACCCTTGTATTGTTTTTGATGTTATATGTTCATAAGTC